CCGGGGGACGAACGTGTCACGGGCAGCCCCAGCCGGGAAACCGGCTCGGCATTAACGCCCAGCCCTCGGCGCAGCCGGGGCAGGTCCCAGCGGCCCTAAGGAGGCTGCTTGGCGGCGTCACTGTCCCCCTGCCCGGGGTGCTTCACGCCACATCCCTGCGCGGGAGGGCAGCCGGTGGCCCCAGAGCAGCCGGGGAGGCTGCGGCCAGGCCTGGGGAGCAGCGGCCGCCTGACGGAGCTGCTCCATCCTCCTCTTGGGGCTGGCCGGGGGCTTTGGTGAGAAGGAGCCACTTGATGCCGGCCTGAGGAGCGGTGGGGAAAGCAGTGGCTCCATGTCCCCAGCTCTGGGGTGGCAGCTGGTGGCCGGGGGGTTCAGGAGGAACTGGTCCCCCCGTGACACCCTGCCGCAGGGCTGTGACCTGTGGCATCGGTACCGACCCCGGGTGGAAGTTGCAGCCTGGACGGAGAACCAAGGCGTGGAGCTGATTTCTGTCGCTGCAGGAAAGCGACCCCGCGGGAAGAGGAATGGCGTGGGCCTGGTCCCCAGGTGGGGGGCAGAGGAAGGGGGAAGGGGAGGAGAGGGGATGGCAGCCATCAGCAGGGTCACACCACCCCCCAGGACCTGAAGCCCAGGCTGGCCACCATCTCTGTCCCTTCTTGGGGCACATGAGTGATGCCGTTTGGTCCCCCCAGGGACTCCTGAGCAGGGCTGCTGGCGGGGTTTGGGGGTTCAGGGTGGCACAGATCCCCATGACCTCTTTGGAGAGGGTCAGGCTGGTGGGAAGAGGGGGGGAAAGGATCCCTGTCCCCAGGCACTGCCACCACCCGCATCCTGTGAGCCTGTCCCTGCCCGGGGCTGGGTGGGGGGCGAGTGGACGTGGCTGAACCACCAGCACCGTGGAGGACAACAGGGACAGCCCCCGTGAGTCGTGCTGTGCCCAGGAACCTGTCCCAGGACCCCCTTCCTCCTCCTCCCCTCCTGCAGGCAGCGTCTGGCCCACAAAGGGTTACACAAGGCAACCTGGAGTGACACCACCGCCACCAGCCCGGGAGCTCGGCTCCTTCCTGGTCGGATCGGAGGCTCGGTGAGTGCCTAATCCTGTCCCCCGGGATCTGCAGGCCCTGCGTCCTGGCTGGGAACAGGGATGCGGCCGTGCTTTCACCTGGGGCAGTGGCCATGCTTTGTCCCTCTCTGGGTGGCGCCAGGACCCGGTGACCCTCCTGGAGTTCTGCCCCAGTGGCAGGGAGAGACCCGGGAGGGGTCCTGGGACCCTGCCATCACAGCTCCGCGCCCCAAGGGCTGGAGGACGTGCCCCCATCCTACTGATTTACACCCTAGCTGCATCAGACCTCCCAGAGACCCTTTTCCCAGGGTGGGGGGGCAAGATCAGGGCATTGTGTTGTGGGTGCGGTTGGGTTGGAGGAGCTTCTGGGGGGATCCTGCACAGCCAGGACCAGACAAGGGACGAGCGGTTTTGCAGCACTGGCTGAGACCAGGGACCCCACTGATCCCGGGAAAGCTTTGGGGTCCCAGATTGAGGACCCCCATTGGTGGGGGCGTTGGGAAACAGGTTATGGGTGGTGGGGATGGCCGTGGGGCAAGGCTGGGGTGGGCAGGGTACATCACTTGTGTAAATAACCTCCCCACCCGTTGCTGTCCCCCATGGTGGACACTGCCAGCGGCGTCACCTGGGGCCAGGCACAGCCCCGAATCGGGGACTTTGCAGCAGGGTGAGCTGCTCCAGTACAGCCCGGGCTTCATTTGGCATTAAAAACCCTGGGACATGCCAGGCACGGTGTGTGTGGGGCAGAGTGGGGTGTGTGGGCTCCCCACGGTGCCAGTCCCTGGTGCCGGGTGTGTTGGGCTGGGCCGTGGTCAGCTCTGCCCAGATACTGCCTCTCCCGGCGGGGCCATTTCAGGTGCGGGCTGGTTGGTTTCTGTTGGAAACCGGCCGAGCCGGCTCCTCCAGCTCCCAGCCTCGGCCTTCGGCTTGGACAGGCCCTACACCAGGACTCGAGGGGGAGACCGGGGACAGGACAGGGGCTTAGGGCACCATGGGCACTGCCTGTGCGGGCAGCTGCTACTGTCTCCATGCCGTGTCCCCCACCCCAGACTGCCGCTGGCCGTGGAGAGCCATGGGTGGCAGCGGGATGCAGGTGTGTGGCCAAATTACGGTGCCCTGGTGACGGGGGAGCAGTGGGAGCTGGTTGGGGACAGTGAGAGGCTGTGTTGGGTGGCACCGCGGTCGGCTCTGGCAGATGAGCTGTCACCCCGAGAGGGGGGATGCTCTGGCTGCCCCCCAGTCGAGGTCCCTGTGACCTGTGGCTCACACCTTGTCACCCGCGGGCATCCAGGTAATCCAGAGTGCCAATAAGCACTGACCAGCTGACACTGGTGACACGGCTGAGATGGGACCTGCCAGTTCAGCTCGCTGATCCGGCAGGGAAGCACCCCAACCGCTGTGCTGGGGTCTCCTCTTATTATCAGTCTTATAAGCGCCAGGACAGGGCCCGGGGTGCCACCACACTGGGCCCTGCTCAGCCCCAGCTACTACCTGGGCACACGTTTCCCCACGTGCTGAGCGCTGGTGGGCACTCGGGCTGCTCCCAGCGGCTCGTGATGCAGAGTGGAAACCTGGACTCTGCCCTCCACGCTCACTGGCTTGCAGCCCCGGCTGGCTGGGGCTATTTCTGACGCCTGGGTGAATGATTACACCGTCCCTCCCCAGGGCTCCCTGGGTCTCATTTTGGGGGCCCAGCTGGCTGCTTCGGTCTGGCTCTGGCTGGGGGCTGGCCACAGAAAGCCCCCGCACTGGGGCTGAGCCACCGCGCTTGCCCCAGGTCCGGCTGCCCGCCGCTGGGAGCCCTGCTCCGCCTTGCCCACGGCATTGCCCGCGGGGTGTCCCCGATGCCCGCTGGTCCTGCTGAAGCTGCCCTGCGGCCGATGCCCAGAGGGGCCGCGGACGTTTCCAGGTTCCCGTGGAACTGATGCGGAGGGTCCTCGGCTGGGCTTGAGGGCGGCTCAGCCCCCGGCACAGCCGGCCCGGAGCCCCGCGGGGCCGTGCGGGTGGCAGAGCCAGCGCGGCCAGGACTGGGCACGGATGTCGTGGCAGAGCCTTTGGCCAAGCAGAGCCCAGGCAGATCTGCTATGGCAGAGCCCTTGGCCAATCAGATGCTGGAGAGACACGTCACAGTACAGATACCAGCCAATCAGAATCCAGAGAGGAGCCACCGCAGGGCTGTTGGCCAATCAGAGCTCAGAGAGACCTGCTATGGCAGAGCAGCCGAGCAGTGGGTGCCTGGAGAGACCTGTGGTGGCCGAGCCATTGGCCAGCTGGCTCCTGGGGCCCCGCCCTGGCAGAGCCGCCAGCCAATCAGTGCTGGGGGACAGAGGCTGTGCCTTGGCTGTCAGCCAATAAGCACTGGGCAGACCTCCCCCGGCCGAGCTGCTGGCCAATCCCCGATGGCGGCCCAAGGGCGCCTTCTCCCAGACCCGGCAGGGCCAGCGTGTCCCTGGCCCCTTGTGCCCGTGATGGGCCGTGGCTGTGTCCCTGATGGGCCGTGGCTGTGCCCGTGATGGGCCGTGGCTGTGCCCGTGATGGGCCGTGGCTGTGTCCCTGATGGGCCGTGGCTGTGCCCGTGATGGGCCGTGGCTGTGTCCCTGATGGGCCGTGGCTGTG